GAAAGAATAAAACATTCGTGTTTAGCGACAAAATTTCCTAAGTTCTGTATTCACGAAACTATGAAGCACCCACCACGCAAAACAGTTAAGGGTTTTGGGATAGTAGCGAGAAAAATTACTCACTCGTGAACGGAGTGACAGGAGTAGTTCTCGGTGATGTTGTCATCATCATAAACTCCGGTAGCTGTTCTCCCTCAGCTTGAAAATTTACCCCTAAAGACTGTTCGTATGAAAGTGCAAGACGATGGAATCGCTAAAACGGTAAGATAGACGTGGAAGAAAAGCAAGCTTGTCATTCGTCATGGATAAGTCCATATTGTGGTATTCGCAGACAATTGAGTGCGAGGAAGTGGCGGTAGTTTTCAAGGAACCTTTGTCCTTTCCTGAATATATATCGCGAACTGGTCACAAGCAAACCGCCCCGTGTGCTTTCTTGGCTAAAGGAGCGCATCGTCAAACACACAGAATTCCCGGATGCAAAAACTGCGTCACACGGAATGCTTCTCACAACGAAAACAGTGTAAAGTCATTGATGTATTCTGTCACGCGAAGCGAAAAGAAGTGGCATCCATTCAACGAGATTGACGAGGAGGCGTGTCATGTCAGCATAATTTGCACTATTCTTGTGCAGATTAATGCCCACGTCAAATTACTTTCTTAACTTGATTTACGGCATAAGCATTAGCCAGTTTGCAATAGCCTTGAAAGTTGTAAATCCACCCTCCGAGGGTGAAATACGAGTTGCTTGGTAAGTTGTTTACGAGGCCACTAGACACACTTGAGAAGCTTCCATCTGTCGGTAGTCCTGATGAAATAAAGAGATTGGCGGCCAAAGGACTGGAGGCAAAAACCTTTCACCAGATATGATAATGCGATTTAAAGAGCGCCTTAACCGGGCATTGAATATAGCGCAGATTGTCTGTACCGTGCTGCCACCAACACTTTGCGTCCAGCCCATTGAGGGCAAATGCAAAGAAGTCTTTTACTTTGAAAAGATAATCCTTTCGTTATAGCTTAGACGGAGTCACATCGCATCGCGCTTGTAGCCTTAGGCTAGATGGCAGCGCGCAAGAACGGCCAGTAGAAAACGTTTTTTATCATCAAACAATTGCAGCGTAATCAATCGTCGGTGTTTTGCAACGCATATTGGAGTTGTTATCACATCTTGTCCACCCGTTAACGAATGCAGAAAACGCGGAATATGCGTATGATATAAAACCTTTGAACGCCGATATGGCAACTGATCCTCTTCGTAACAGCTTTTATCTTCATGCAGAATCTCTGGACATGTGCAATTTTGGTGTGATATCTCGCATTCGCCCAACTCTTTTCAAATATGCGGTGCGTGAAGCATAAATGCGGACGAAGCTCAACTTTAGTGCTGCGATGGCAACATGGGGACTGGAAGTGAAGAGCTATATGTGCGTCAAGGGCAATTGGCCTAAGTAATGATGAAGCAAAAGAGAGATATCGGATAGTTGCTAAGCAACTTCGCAGCACTCAAAGACGTTTTGTCTTCAGTGGTACAAGACATTTCGCGTGTATGCGTCACCCTTCGCACTTTGCTGATAGTCAAAGTTCATTAGGTGTAAAAGGGTCGTCTGCAAAAGAACTGCTTGAAGTTGTTCCCCGTGGTCGTCGTGGACAATTGGACCTTGTCCTCAAAGTAGCGGCTCTCTCTTTGATGTGTAATTTGACGTCGGTTACAATCATCAACGCTCCGGCCTTGGTGGAGATGATCAAAGTATTGATCGGACTAGGGACATTATGCAGCTACGTACAATACGCGACTGCCGAACACAGTTTACAGTACGCAAAGGCAATGAAAATGCCAAAATCATTTACAGTATTCGTGAGTCTCCCAGCAGGCAAACTAGCGATTTTCAATCGTCTGGTGACACAACTGGTCAGGTTACATTGTGGACAGACATAAGCCTATATTCGCTTAACGTTGTACAGGACGATAGAAGCCGAAAGCAGAAAACCACATCACACTTTTACGATCAATGCTCGAAATTATGCAATTCAATATGAAATCTCCAATATCATTCGGCGCGTCTTTGGCGCCCACAAAATCTCCTTGCTGAGTTGTTTATCGAGAGCAAGGCTTGTTAGCAGACTTCTTGTACGAATAGCCAATTTTTGATTGGTCAGTGTCTGTCTCGAAAGAAGTTGAGAACGTGGGTTTGTCGGGCCATCTACAAGGTCAATGCAAACTATGCCGACATGATACGACCCCTCACCAATCTACTTTAAATGATGCTGAACGGAGTTGAGGTGTGGCAAAAGAGACGTTTTGAGGCTGTAGAAATAGTTCTCATGTCCTGATTATGAATGTTTTCAATCCAGATTCGCTATACAACGTTGTCTGTCTCGGTAATGGTCTGCGCTCTACTTCAGGTGGATGCGAACGGATATAAAGCATGATCGCGCTTAAGCCTCGCCAGCTAGAGGCTGGGAGATCTACCCTTTTCAGGATAGGATGCTACTTGTAACGAAGTCAAGCGTGGTATATCTGCTCGGCTGTAAGTCTTTTGTGATCTTCACACTTTATGCGACGTTACGCACAACGGTGCCGTCACCACATCTCGCAAAGATGGCAATATGGTATCCTTGTTTGCCAAGGATATATATGTGCTATATATGCATAATGTGCGAAGGCGCTCTCGCGACTCTCCATTACAGACTGTCGCATGCCTCGATGGACTTCGCGCACTAATAAGGCGAGGCGTACAGCGAACGGGTCAGACGCAACGAGTATTGCAATATACAAAGTGTTTAAGACTTAAGAAGCTTTTTACCGAAGTGCACTGCTTCATGCCGACCTGATATGTCTTACTACATCACTGACTCAGCGCGGAGACATGCGTCATTATAAGATCCCACAGGTATAGAAAACAATACTTTGGAGCAATACACATTAGAGAGATTGCGAGGCATATGACCTGGCTACATTTGAAGGGGGGAAATAAAAGGACATACCGCTCAATGACCACTTTGTATAGGTGACCCAACATGTATAAGTACGTGAACATATACGGGTGCACATTCGAAAGGTATCAATGAATTAAACGTCGCCGATTACGATGGCATACTTGACCAGTCTGCCGGGTTTGCCAGAGCCTTGACATTTGGAAAGTATAAACCATACTTTTAGTATTTCAAAATACGTGACTGGAACTTTAGGAATTGTCGTCTTGGATAGTCTTGGCAAGATGGAGCATTTCGCTGCTGTCAGCGCTAAAGTCGCTCAGTGCAATGCTAGCCAAGCTGTTTATCGGGTAAGTCTTTCATCCTGGATCACTCCAGCTTCATCTCTTATGAAGAACAGCAGAGTCGCCCTTTGTAACAATCTGCCCACCAGTAGATACAAATCGACCAAGCAGTGGAAAAGCTTATTGGTCGGTAGGTGCATTGCAGTCTCATGGCGACAAGTGGGGGTGATGACAAAAGGAAGTGGGGGTGGTGAATTGTTGTCTCGACGTCCGCGTCTCTCTTTTGCCTTGTAAAGTCAAACATCAGGTGACTCGACCACTTTGCTGGAGCTAGCTTGTAAAGTCTTAAGTAGGGGGACGAGCTCCACGGTGGGGTGTTGCAACACTAGTTGCCGATAAATACGGCATGGACCCACGACTCGAGCAGCAAGAAGCTGAACGCAGTAAACACCTCCTCCTTGGGCAAATGCTAGGCTGTGAATCTGCCGGATGAGGGCAAAGAGGTTTATACAGGCCTCAGAAAGTCACTGGGACCGTTCTTACCGGAGGTATGGGCATCCTTGCCGATAATTATAGCGAGCGCATCAGTCACAAAGATCGTGCTTTCATCGAGACCCGTCGTATCAATTCATTTGGAGCACGGGAGTGGATGCCCGAAACAAATACGCTTAGAAGAACAGACATGGTACTTCCAGGCATTTTTGAACAAATTATCAATAGTCAGGATAAGTCTAAAATTAGTGTGGCCCAAATCTTTGTGAGGAAACTTGAGAGCAAGCAAATGCGTTAGAACTGTACGAAATTCACATTTCGCCTAGTGTAATAATGGATAATTTAGCAGTACCAGTATTTCAGTGTTTATGAAGATATCGAAACTCCGTGATCTACATGTACAGGCGAGCTATTAGCCGCACATTTGAAAAGGTTTTGAGGGTAGAACTTAATATTTAGTAGCTGGCAAATATCAAATATATATACTCTTGAAATGTAAGTGCAGATTTCGGATGTTGGCTGAATTGTAGATTCTCCCTTTCATTCTCTACGTTTCTGATCTATGGGCGTCTGTTGATGCTTACTGTGAGAGCTTAATTTTCTTCTGCGAAAAGTGAATGGCTGCCATTTGCAACCTCCATCGCTCGGAGAAAATATTCACATTGGTTTTCACTGGTCTCCACTGGTCTCGCAGTGAATTCCTTCTGCTCTTACCAGCGCCGGCTTAGAGTGCTCTTGGATGTGCACAATCAAAGCTGGTGAGCGATACCCAGGCAAACAGTTACCGCCATCCGCCCTTTCAAAACCAATTTTCTGATTTTATTAGACAAACGATAGGTTATTCAGCTGGTCTTGCTGTTCCAGAGACAGGTTCTCGAACATTATGTGCTCCATAGTCACGACTCAGTCACAGAATTTACTACAAAAGCTAATAAGTGCACCTGTGTTGCTTTGTCCATTGTATTGAGGAAGTTTTGTCTTTCAGGTCCGCGTTAGCAAACGCACAAAAGTTGGGCTCGTGCGCCCCTGTATAGTGCAACCAAGAGCATATAGAGTGATCAGCACTTTTTTTGGAGAGCACGTATATGTCAATGATTTTTTTCAAGATATTAAACGTCTACTTTCTTCTATAATAAATCTGATAAATTGATATAATTTTGTGACGAATATCAATACTTTGATGTTTATAAAAATCACAATTAAACAAGAGTGCAATACGAGTTCGTAGTATTGCATACCTACCCCATTACATACAGTATATTATCACTGTGTACCAAACTGCTGTGAATTGTGCTACAATGCTTTCCTAAAGAGTGCTAGCCATGGTAGAATAGCTATTCATTTTATTATTTTTGATTTAGAAGCGGTTTTTATTTTTCCTTGGGTTTTACCATAAAGTTTTTCATCAGTTAAATTTCCAATAATACTTTTAATTTTTGAACTATCTACTGTTGTAAATTTTTTATTAAACATGTCAGTTCCAGGTTCCAGTAGTTTTGTCAGTAAAATTTCTCGAACGCTGTACATCCTAAGTGTAATGTGTTTACCAATTTCACCACTTTAAAAAAATATTTAAGAGAGAATAAAAAAATGCCCCAACTTTTGCCATATATAAAAAAATTATCCCAACTTTTCAAAAAATAAAAAAAATACACAACAGAAGATGTATTGTATTAGGAATGAATTAGCATAATTTAACAAAA